GCACATAAAAATGACCCTACACCATCGGAAAACGTTCAAGATGTTGACAACACATTCAAACAGTAAACGTTTCGACAAAAGAGTGAAACCATCGCGATTAGACTCAACCAGCTGCCACGCACCTAGGAAATGACTAATACACAATTTATGTTGGTACAATACTTCCCTATTGCCCAGGGTAAAGAAGAGAGCTGGCTTAGAGGACCCCATGCGGAGCAATGGAGCGTAAACACAACTTGCAAGGCAGCAGGGCGATTACCGTATATAATGAACCATCATTATGCACGTTGGTTTGAGGTGGGAAGCACCTCGGCCATTGCGCCGCAATACATCATTACATCATTACACATTAGCTGAAGGTGAGAAACAAACTTCAACTAGCCGCAATATATGTGAAAGAAAGGAAAGGCGAAACACACGCACGTCAGCTGAGCCACCAGTAACGAATGGACATCGTGCCGGAAAGCAAGTAGCCGGCTAATGTGCCGCAAGAAGAAAGTTACATTACGCGCTAGAAGTGAGGTCGTGTTGGAGGGAGGTAAGTGGAAGGACGAAGAAACTCATAACACAAACGTCACCGTTGTGGACCCCTGGTCATGTCAACAACTGTATCCAGCCAAACATGTTTGTCATCGTTCGGGTGCCAGTTAGCTAATGGACCACAGAGGCAAGTGACTTGGAGGCGAAGATCAAAGTAACTCCTCTATGGCTGTCGCATTCCGAAAGTGAGATTCCTTTGAAGATCGGGATGATAACGGAGCGACTCCAGTCGGTTGAGAAGATTTCCTGCTACCACAGTTTCCCCAATGAGTAGTATGAAACATCCAGAAGAGCAGGTCCACCTGAGTTAGAAGAGAGCTAGAAGAATACCATTTATCCTTGCGGGTTTATTCAATTTCAGTGGTCCGATCTCATGTTCGAATTCTGAGCGAGAAAGGATAACCCAGGGGACAGCCAGGGAGCAGGGTGACCACTGGTCGGCGGGAAACCTGATAATTTCGGCCGAATAAATTGCCTTTGAAAGTGATCAGACAAACGCCCCAAGTGTTTTGATATGTCGCGGATACGCTGTCCATTCTAGTCACACATAGTTTCAATAACAACAGGTCTCGTGCTGCTCGTTTCCTGTAGCAGACGAAATAGTTTCCGATAGTTACCAAGGACAGCGGCCACATCCATCTCCGACGCACGATGAGACCACTATGATTAGCGGTCTCTCTTCTGGCTAGCAAGAAGTTCTGCCCTGAAGCAGTTGCGAGTCTCGTGTTCTCTACCAACCAGAATGTGCCAGCGATAAGCGATAAAATTCGGAGATTGTGGAGAGACCCAATCTCCAGATCTGCTTAGATTTACCACATGAGGATTTGTCTGTTGCTAATACGGTCTGAGGTAGATGCGACCAACTGTACCCAGTGAGCGCTTACTCAGCCCGAATGCCAGCGTACTTGGATACACAGTCAGCAGGTGTTTATAGGCTCACATTGTCGACCAAAAGGCACCCACAGATCTACGCATGCAAAATGTTGCAACGTTGCCCTAATTTGCTTGCGGCTTTTGTCCAAGCTGGCCGGAGGAAACCTGAAGAGATGACACTGATGACCTGAGTGGTTCTATTAGAACTATAAACGGTCATATGTATAAATCAGACGCGCGCCATCACACTGACGTTTTGGCCATAACCTTCCGCTCCGTATGTCAAGTTCGTCTGATCTCTGCCGTTTGGCGTCCTGGCCAACACGTAGTCCCATCTACGCCCGTTGGTACATTGACACAGTACCCACGACCTATCGCCGGCAATTTAACGTCCGTAAGGTTTCGTATGTGTCGCGGCTCGGAAAATTCGGCACGAGTCACACAACGTCCATACGTCTCACTAGATTTTCGGCGCGACCACCTACGCGGAAGACACTCCGCTGAGTTTGTCGACTTGTTGGCAAGCCAAACGCAATCTTGCTTTGCGTCGCCAGTGTATCTCAACATTCGGTTATCTCACCATTCCAACACATGTGTAATGGTCAGTGTCCACACATGTGCTCCAGATCAAGCGACAGTTTTGGGCACAGCCTCTCCAGCGGTAATTGAACTGTCAACCTTCGGGAACCAGCTAGTAAAGTGAGGACAACAGGACTTGCGAGTAGAAGCTACTTAATCAAAGCTCACAGAATCCGAGTATGGCGGCACGGACACCAGCAAAATGTTACTGGGTTACCAAAGTCGCAATCAGGTACGAAGTTCGTGGACAGTCAGGTGGCTCATACATTTCCGTATAAGTCGGTGGCCGTCGATGTTGTTCATCCGCAATGCATTGGGTAGTCACTGATAGCTACAGAAGCGAGTGGTATGTGATCCTATGGCCCGGCACACTGCCTCTGACATAACGTCACAGGAACTTTGTGGTATCGAATGGGGAACGAGGTTACCAACCTAGAACACCCATGCTACAAGGACGGCCAGGTAACGCACGCAAGTTGGGAGTGGTCGGCCGATTTAGAGTACATAGTCAGGCTCGAGCCCGTCTGAGTGCGTGGTCACATAGCTCTCACAGTCCAGACCTCAAAGAAGTGCGCAACAGTAAGGTTAGTTTTAACCTGAATCGACATACACTTTCGGATGACGAACGAGCCGAATACAGCTTGGATATGCCTCCAACGTATCATGAAGGCATTAGAAGCCATTCGTCAACCTAGCGTAGTGTCCGAGAAAAAGTAGTCTCTCAGGAAAACTCATTATTACAATGAGAAAAGGATTTAGGCCGCTGGTTGACAGCCGAAGCAGCAAGTCATTTCAAAAACAATCCCGTGTATCACACGACGCGCACAGCTCCCTTCGTATTGATTGAGCGGAGCCAAACCATTAATTCTGACAGCCCACCTAGTCATTTTTTGTTGATATACAAATATCCGTTGATTTTCTCGCTGTTTGGGCTCGTTTCGGAAGCGGGTCATGCAACACGCACTCCGGGCCGATTCACTGATTTCTGATCTCGGCTTGCAGAAACGAGATCTGCTCAACCGGAATCGCAGAGAAAGTGTAAGACTTAACATTGTGCCCGAATAGTGTGCTGATTTAAGGGTTGTAGCTAAAATGATGAAAGTACACAAGTTGAAGCCGACAGGGTAACCAGTTTCAAGATATCGGAACTGGAGTCATCAAGGACAGCCGAAGGGAGTTAACATGACACCTGTTCTCACAATCAGCAAGTGGACGTGGTCGCCTCTGGCGAGTTAGGAATTGAATAAGTTACTAAACACATTTATGGGGCTTGTACGGTTCCCCAGGCCACAGTCAATTATGGAGAGGATAAAACACCAATCTACTTGCCGAAATATAAAGAGCAGCCTCACCGTGCGAATCATAAACACGGTCGCTGCGCTTTTTTAATGTTATTTTAATCTCCGGTGCCTAGGAGGCATTGTTTAAGTCCGAGAAACCATCAAGTGTGTAATGCTGATGGCGTTCGGCAACAAACGGTGGTGAAGCACTAGTCCACCTTGGCGTTTGAACCGCCTACACATTGATTAGCTTCATGCGTATGCCGATGGACTGTCTTACCCTGTATGTTGTCTACGGGCAATTCGACTGGTTTGGTAAAGCCTCAGGGCGGGTAACAGATAACGTACTAAAACTGTATGGAGAAATCGACCAAACCTAGTGGTTTGCCGTTTACTTTGTTTTAGATCTACGCATTGTACATCTTCAAGCATTACACTTGTAATTATTTTCTGAATGCGTTGACAATAGGTTGACTTTTCGCTTATGTGCGTTATTGTTTTTCTTTCATGCTGTTGTCGGAGCAAGCCACGGCAACTGGACCGATCGCGCTATGATACGTGAGCACAGTTGGCCGACTGAGATGATTGTAAGCGAGTTCGAAGCTAACATAACCTGGCAGCATTGTCCAACAGAAAAAAGGTTTCAGCTGAAAACGAAATACAATGCTAGGGTGTCACTTCAAAGCACTCGTTGTGTGAATAGATTGCGTTGCGCAATATCAATGTGGGCTGTGGTTCGCATCGAAGGGAATATTGGTCGATTCGATCCCACAGGGACCGTAAATGGACCAGATGGATTCTGAATGTTGCTGTCCGAAAACACTGCACCCCCGACCAGTTTTGAACTTGTTTGCTTTTATCAGATAAAGTGCCTGTTATGTCTAACAGATGGGAGCACACAAGTTAGGAACCGGTTGCGGAGTGCACTGTTTTCTCGAATAATACCATGTTAGAAGGGATCACTGTGTTTAACTATGTGAGTTAGCGCTTCAAAACACTAATCAAAAGACGTAAAAATGGCCAGTAGGGTGGTACAGAATCAGTTTCAGGATAAACACAGTACCTCTATCGACATAAGGCCTAGGTAAGGTGAGTATTTACATGACCAAGTAAACAGCTAGATCGAATCTGAAAGGCACACAGAAGTTGTGCAAGTGGATCACTATAAATTGGTTTGTTGGCGGCTTGTAAGTTTGATGCGTAGATCTCTTCCCAATCTCATAGCAGGAATAAGCTAAATTGGTGTATTGCTCCATGTGACCTCATGTGTGGAACAATGCCACTCAAGGTTTTAGCGAAGTAAGCAAGACAGACAATATGGTGGTGAGAGTAATAAGAAAAATAATTCAAATATTTTGTGGTTTACGAAGGAGGATTAGCTCAGTTGCCGGATAGAAAGAGAGCAAAAGAAAATATACGTGAGGTCCTATTTGTAATCGAGGCAAGCGGTTGACAGATAAATGTAGCGCAGCGATAAACATTAAAATATCAAATATCATAAGAACGCTGAATAAAATATGAAACAATTTATTGAGTGAAATGTCTGTATGCGAACAAAAGGTGTGCAGAGAAACATCCCCAGTAGTGCAGGGAGCAAGAGAGAGTGGGATGCCGGACGCGCTTACAGTTAATCAGGTACCAAAATATGTGGAAATCATAAACTAGCTGAAAAATGAAAGCGGTTAGTAAAAATCAATGAAAATGGTTAGTAAATATACTGAGTTTCATTCATTTGGGATTGGTCAACGCGTGGAAACGACGCTGAAGTTCATCGAAGTCCTGATCGTCAGATGAAAGATTGCCACGCCCCGCTCCTTCCACATTGTGACCTGGTGGAACGTCTTCTGGAGGACAAGGAAAATCATTGTCCTGGGAAGTTGGCACAGAAGCGGCCGGAGGTATTCGTGGCTCGTCAAATCCCGAGTTCCCACATGCTTCACTATCTCTCTTATCAGGAAACACAGCAGAGTCGTAGGATGGCGGCGAAACCTGATTGTAACCTAATGGGAGAAGTGAGAAAAGGATTGTAAAACTAAAAGATGCGTGTGCGCAGACTGGATGGGAAAGCAACGGGATCGAATACATTTGCTTCAATAGAAATATGGGCGGCAACCTTCAATGATAGGTCACCGACATGTCCTGGCAATCTCTGAGTGAGTGAAGCTGAGATCTGACAGAGCTAACACATTGTGGCGCTCTAATGAGTATAAGCACGCCAACTGTGCTTCAAGAGAAAAGATGAGAAGGATTCACTGTCGATCGAGCATCGATCCCAAAAAGTGAAATAACTGCGGGATTTGTAGCCGCTCAAAACGGAAAAGCTTTCATTGAAGATTTTCTTCAAAATTCGTTTCAATTGACGCAACGTGTTTTGTCCAAATACGGTAGGTAGTGAATCGTGCGCGATATCTCGCTTGTATATTCTAAGGTGAATGGAGTAGAGGGTCACAGTGACCTTGGTATTTGATTGAAAAAATATCTGTCAGCTAAAGCTTGCAAAACTGAGACATATACAGTAGATAATGTAAAAAATGACGTTCGGCGAAAAGGCAACGGCCAATTTAAAGGCGACGCCAGGAATAGCCAGAACGAACAAGGCAACCAAGTGGTGTAGAGTAGCCATGGTTTAGAAGACAAGTGAGTATGACTATGATTATACAGAGGATGGACGGAAGAGTACAAAGCAACAGATTATGGTTTGAGTGTCCAAAGAGAAAGAAATTCAGGAACGCTGCGAAATTTGTATGGGCGTGAGAGAAGTAGCGGGGTGCGTTTGATCGGAGCAAGATAATGCTCGGTTTGTTGGGTCTGGGACAGATGGTGCGCATGGCAGCCGAATCAAACCAACTTCAAGTGGTATTACAAACAAGGAAAAAGCATTGAAACACGAGACGATTGGTTAATGCGGTGTACGCCGAGCAGTGTAACTTGGAGGAATGGTTTTATACGGGTAAAAAAGCCGATGCATAACAGGTCTCGTGGAATGGTTATGGTGAAACTACAAAATATATAAAATTGTTAGCAAAATTGGGTTTAGATCAGTGAACGCACTGAGCTATACGTAATATAGACTGTAAATCTAAGATAAATCCATAAGGAAGGACGGCAAATGGGATGTTAGTAAAAATTGTGTATCCTTCTGGCGTACACATGATTGGCGGCATCCGGCCTCGGATTTGCATATCACTGTGGCCAGTCACAGGACGCGTGCGTCTACAGAGGGACCATGGGTGGCTTGCGCTGCACCACTCACAGCTCCATCCACACACCCATATCCAGTGTGAACCCAAAGGAATAAGACCGGGAGGCATGCGGATGGGAACCACGTTTCATCAACGGAACCGGCCCAAACTCTTTCAAGGCAAACACAAGCACACTGTATTTGGGGAATCAAGCGCACACAAGACGGTGGCTGGACCGTAGTCCGCTACACACTGAGTGTATGGAACCGCTCTTCGAGCCTAACACGGCCACAAGGAACGTGCACCCCGTCCCCTCCATCAACGACCAACTGTCTCCTGGAGCCAGTATGGACGAGGTAGTGGGTGATAGACAGGTAGGCACCTTGTCAATATGCACATCAAGCGCAGCCACACAGGGGATATCAAGCAACAGCCAACCACGTGAAACGACAAGATGAAATAAAATAAATCGAATAATGCATACGCATACGGTGGCATAACTCTTCGCTAAATTAGCATAGGAAGTAAGTTGGTTAACAACGAATCCGCGATAGGGAGAAAATTTCCACTAGTTACATAAAAATGCTACAAACGCAACCAAGTTGTCGAAGATAAGCGCAATCAGCGTAAGCATGGTGGCCAGTTAATAGAAGATTATTCAGGTAGGCAGAACAAACCAAATAAAGTGGAATAAAACTTATCCAGCTTAAAAAGACCTAGTTTAAGTGTAAGTTGGTTTAGCCAAACTGCAGTGGAGAAGTATCAAGAATACAACATCAGCCTCAGCATGGGGTACGGTGTACACATACAGGAGGTGAAAAAGGTGGAGCGAAATCTGGGATTTGACCGCCAGTGAAATCTCTTACAGACACTTGTGTACATTCATGGGTAAGGGGTCATGTAAAATGGTGCAGCGAATTAAACGCATGGTCAACCCTGGATTTGAACTCTGCTAGCGTGGGGGCACATATGATAGATTCCGGTAGGGCATTCCATGTACGAAAAAACGAGTACAGAAAATAAATTCCGACGGCATTCCAAGCGACAATGCTGCTCCTCCAGTTTGCGATGGTGTCCTCTCAAATTGCTGTTGTGACTGAGCCGTAGAAAGTAGCGGCACATGTAGTTGGGATCTCACAAAGTCTGATAAGTCAAAATGAGATCATCGCGCAATCGCCGATATTGTCCGCTGAAGAACTCGATCACTTGTGGCCTTCGTTCGTACGCTAAACGATACGGACTTGACATTCATGGTTGCCAGGCGCTGGGGTATCTCCAAAGCGGTAAGATCACTCCTCAGCCATGGCTGCCAGACATGTATTGCGTAGTTCACATGTGACCGTATGCATGAGCCGAGAATATTTGTAAAACCGAAGGGTCGAATTGTCCGAATGCACGCTTCAGGAGGCCCACATGTTACATGCCTCTGCTAGAGGCCGTTTCATCCTGATTCGAACATCTAAGGCCAAGCTGGACAAAAACTCCCAGATCCTTCTCGCCAGAAAATGTCAGAAGCTCCTGGTTGCCGAGTTTGTAGGAATTCACCAACATGTGCCGTAGATGTAGCATTCCACATCTGTCCACATTGAAGCGAAGTACACAAAAAGTACACGCGTGTACCCTATCCAAATCAGCTTGAAGTACTGTAATATCATCTGGTGTATTGATCGCCCCCCACACCTTGATATCATCAGCATAAAGCAGGCAGTTCGAGTTTATGAGGCGTATGATGTCGTTAATATACGTCAAAAATAATCGCGGTCCTAGTACCGAACCCTGTGGTACTCCGCATTCAAGTGGGATAGGATCTGACAGCGATTCATGCACACGTACTTCCAAACGCCGGTGTAAAAGAAAGCTCCTGATACATCCTAGGAGAGGATCACCAATACAAAAGGTCTGGAGTTTGGAGAACAGATTATTATGGTCTAACCGATCGAACGCCTTTGAGAAGTCGAGAAAGACTACATCAACTACCACGCCAGAGTCTACTACTTCAGTCCAAACAGATCATGTTAGTAGTATACTTGTAGTGCACGATCGAATTCGTCGGAAGCCATGCTGTTCCGGTGCAAAGTAGTTAAATTCTTTCAAATAAGCGGTCAACGTAGCAGAAATAATAGCTTCTATGACCTTGGAAAGAATCGGTGGTAAGATTATGGGTCTGTAGTTGGCTGGATTGGAACGACTACCTCTCTTATGAATAGGACTAACCATCCCGTGTTCCACAAGTCGGGCACGTTGTTGTTGATAACTTTCTTCCTTTCTGTCCTAGATGGCGTATTTCGCGCTGGACTAACGGAACTGCGAGAATCCCAGTCATATGGCAACAATAGTCGTGTAGCCTACAGCAAGTACCCAAGTACAAATGGGGGATACAATGAATAACGAACCAGATAAAAGCAGCTAGTAACGCGAACAACCGAGAGAAGAGTAGCGCGTGGCGACATCTAACCAATAGCTTCAGCAGTAAAACTGCCAACTCTCCTGCGCTGACCATATCACCTCGAGTGGCGATGAGACGTTTGCAACCAGATTAGTCCGCCTGGTGAAAAGCTAGTTATTCTTGAATATGCGGACGATATTGTCTTGCTTGTAACGTTGGGGTGGCTCTATCAACCCTGAATAACTCTAGAGTGGTCCCATCAGTTGACATGGGCTTCGCACCTTCTCCTCCACCTCATCATCATCAATATACGTTAGCCGAAGGTGAGAAAGCTAACTCAGCTAGTGTGCCGTAAAAACAACAGATTAAAAAGTAACAGTGCCAAATATCAGAGTATGCATATGGTTTGAGATCTCTGTTGGAGAGGGAAGCTAAGGGAGAACGGAGGGACAAAGAGACTGGCAACACAAACGCCTCTGAGGTCAGCTTCTAGCCATATCAACTAGTATAGCCAACCAAACGCGCTCACCGTCCTTCTAACCCACAGCAAGACACCAAGTTCGAAGTGAGGGAGGTCATTGCTCTTGCCCGAGTCATTAGTTGGTCTCATCCCCTCTTTTCCATCCACACCCCCGGGCGCGCAAACAACGCACGTAGTGAGAGTAGATGGACTGGCATACGCAACAAGTGACCCAACAATTGGAGCCTGATGTGTGATATAATGGTGCTGAGCGGTTTACTCGCTCTTGCTGCACTAAATACGCTGCGTCGAACACGCTGGTTGCTCACGCGGTATTCCAACCAGACATGCTGCGGATGAAGCGATGGTCAAGCGCAACAAGCCCGATTCCCACCCTTAAAGTGCAAAGCTTTGTGTAAGGACCGGTAGCCACTTGTAGACCCCTTCGTTAGAAAACGCACCCCTTAATGAACGGATCAGTGAACCCAAAGAGGATCAAAGTCCATCCATTTTCCAAAAATCGAGCGAGATAATCGCATTGGTTAATCAATAGAATGTTCTCGCAAAATCTAATACTATTATTGGTAAGTAAAAGAGAACAGAGTACGTCCAGGAAGGTCGCTATGAACTAATAAATATCGGTACTCCGCGCTCTGTAATCATCTCGTGTCTGGCGGCTATTACACTGTGTCTACGACCTTGCGTTTTTGATCAGCCAATTGGGGGAGGGGAAGGTTTTCAGCGAACAGCCAATCGGAGCGGCCAGGGCGACAGAGGTGGCTGTTTGATTGGATACGTCGAAAATACGACGATTTATGTCGTTTTCAGTGGAGCAACTTACCGCAGTACTTCAACATCAACAAAAGCAATTTGAAGAAAGCCAGACACGAATGCTCGAGAATATCGGTCAGCGTTTTGCGGTTCAAGCAGTACCAAACGATGAAAAGCAGCAATCATCACCGGATGCGGTCG